AGGTATTGGGTGCAGCCAGGAGTTTGCATTTCTAACATTCTCAGGCAATGTTGGTGCTGCTGGCCTAGGGCCGCACTTTGAGAACCACTGCTCTAAGGCGCCCCAATCTCTGGGACTATGCTAAGGGGGCAGGAGACTGACCACGGTCACCACACAGGCTCTCGAAGTCCTTGCAGCAGTTCCCAAACTCTTGGCAGCGGGCATTGCAGTGACATGGATGGTGCTTGTCGTAGGATTCTAGGCAGCGGCCCTGGCAGGAGGTGGGTGCCGAGTACAAGTCTGAGAGAATAGAGGGGAGGTGTGTCCCAGGTTGACCTCTAGAGGTCGCTCTGAACACCCGGCAGGCCAGTGCCTTCCTCAGCCCAGCTCTCCCAACTCTTCCTAAGGAAGATCTCCAGGGAAGAAAAACAAACAAGCTTAATTCGTGCACACCCCTCAGTCAGGAAGTCCTTTCTGATGCTGAACTTTACTTTCTGGGCTGTTGTTTTTATAATCTTCCCACTCTAAAAATAAAATCTCTTCCACTTCCCTCTTCAGGCCTCAGACTCTTTCCTGGCAGTCCCCTCCAGGGCAGGCCAGCTGAGCCCTTCTCTCCCACCCGCCACCCTCCAGGAATCCATGAAGCCCCTCTCATTTGGCTGGCCTGGGCCTGTTGACGCTGGTCATTGGCACTTCCTTGTCACTATCTCATGTCCCTCTGCCTTATGGAAGGCCCTGTGTGAGGAGACAGACTCACTGTGGGCTGGAGCCTCTTCTGTCTCTTCCTCCAGCTCTGGCTCCTCAGGGTCCTTTTCAGCTATAGATAGAAAAACAAAGTTACCACTCTCCTGAAGGATCTCCCACCCCCATTTTTTCCTGATTCTCAACTCCACCAGCCTCAAGGACAAGCATGTACCTTGGAAGCAAATCATAAACAGAGACTGGAATACAAAGACCAGCTCTTAAAAGAAGTGAAAACTGAAAATGGAGGACATTTCCAGTGGAAGGCAGATTATTAAAAACTGTTATCAAAAATGAAAACTGTGGGCCAGCAGGTGGCATGGTGGTCAAGGTGTTAGATTCCCACATGGCCAACCACGATCTGAGTCCCAGACCTGGTGCCTTGAAGAGCACTCCAGGCACATATACACGTGTGCCCAAAATCCCGAAAAGAGAATGGAGAAGAAAGGATGTGGCATGGCCATCTCCCCCAGGGGTGTTTTCTCACTTTCCATCTGTCTGTCTCTCCAGCAAGCACATGTGCCCTATGGCAAAAACCTAAGAAATAACACCTTACCGAATGTGCTCCTCTGTAAAAAAGGGAGGAGGCAAGACTGGATCCCTTCTGCATTGAAAACTCTGACTTCTCAAATCTCTGCTAGTAATCAGAGCAGCTGTTTTTCTTTCTTTCATTCTTTTTTTTTTTTTCATTCTTTCTTTGTTCTTTCTTCCACAAGCAAGAGAAACAGCGAGAGACAGTACTCCCAATAGGGTCTCACTGCTGCGATTTGCCACCTCCTAGTCTCACCCAGCCTCAGATCATGGGCATGTGTGTGTCACATGTACCTTCAGATGCAACCTTGGCACCTTCCCCTGTGGGTCCACCTCGCAGAACATCACATTTGACAGCCACACCACCAAAGGTCCCCAAAAACTCTGATTTTGATTATGACTTTTCTTGGATGAATTGACAGGTGGCTAGGGAGTCTGACACTGGCCAAATGACAAGACCTTCATTCAGGAACACTCCTTGCCTATAATAACCCCTGGTCAGAGTCAAGGGTGAATACTCAGGCTTCAAGGAATAAGAACTATTTCCTGAGACACCAACTTCCCTTCTTTCTTTGGCACACTTGGAAATCGCCACAAAGACTGTTTGGAGGAGGGCGTGTTCTGAAAAGCACATTC